TGCTGGGTGAGCTGTCTCTTTGCTGGATGGGCTGTCTCTTTGCTGAATGAGCTGTCTCTTTGTTGAACAGGCTGTCTCTTTGCTGGGCGGGCTGTCTCTTCGCATTCTAATCTTATTTTTTAATAAGATTGATCTTGTTTTTTTACACACGGTTGTATTTTGTACTTCTTTCACTATTTGGCTCTGGGAATTCATCACTTTCATTTAAGGATGGTTTATATCCCAGATTGTTGATCGAACAGTTTCTGTTTTACTGTTTTACTCTAAAATGTAAACTGTTGTGGGTGATAGATATGGACCTAAAACAGGTCTATCTACTTTGTTAATGTGGTGCACATTACTTGCACCAGTTGCTCCTGTGCCATGATAATGGCGCAGAACACTTTGATAATTCCCCACAGTGTGTGGACAGGTTCTTGGTAGTCTAGTACTGTTTTGCTGGGAAATAAATCAATGTATGATGGGGAATAAAAAGGGAGGGGAGACCTGAAGTTCAGTAGGCAGGGCTGCTGCAATTTCAGTGCAGCAAAGGAACTGTGTTAGTAGCCCAAACAAGTTAGATGCACATTATATTTTTGGCAGAACAATAATACTTCTTCTGTACTTGCAGCATTTTTAAATAGGGAAATACACATATATTGCAGAAATGTACTGATTTCTTTTTCATTTTAAGAGTTCTTATTTTGCCCATTCTAGAATTGCTAGAAAGCCCAACATCTGCCCACTTAAACTTACGTTCTTCGGACACCACCTCCACTTTGTTTCTCCTTCAGAATCAGGGCTCAAACCTGTCTAAGCTACATGATGGATACTGTTAAAACTTACATTAGCAAATGGCATCCTGGGAGGTGGCAACATGCTCACCCATACCTTGAAGACCCGGATGTTTCCAGAGGGAGCAGTGGGGGAGTGCAGCAGTAAAGGTGAGTATATGTGGGTCAGGTGGACTTTCAAGAAACTCTGGGGTTGATTTACTAAAGGCAAATAGACTGTGCACTTTGTAAAATGCAGTTGCACTCTGCAAGAACAGTTGCTTCAGGACTTAGTAAATGAGCAGAAGCTCTGCTGACTTCCATCATCCAATCACATGCAAGCAAAAATACTGTTTTTTTATTTTCCCTGCACGAGATAGGGTATTCTTTGTAAAGATTTACCTTATTTACTAAGCTCTGAAGCAACTGCACCTGCAGAGTGCAACTGCATTTTGTAAAGTGCACAGTCTATTTGCCTTTAGTAAATCAACCCCTCTGTTTCTTGTATTCTAAGTTTATTAAGTCTTTAAGTATTTGTTTCTAGGCCTCAAAAATGTTCACATTATTCATAACTTTGTTGCTCTAAATGTCTACCAAAACTATTTTATCACCTTTTCTTTTTTTGCAGCTGCTATTGTCATCATTGGTGTAATTTATTTTATATTAAGCATATCTTTACACATTATTTTTCTACTGTGCATCCTGTAGACTCAGCTTTTTTTTTTTACCAGCTCACCTCATATTAATATTAAGTAATCTCCAGTGAGCGATGTGTGAATGAAAAGTCTCTAGGGAGAGTACCATTTCTTCATGACCCTACACTGTAAAACAGAGACCTTGAAAGGTAGAGATAAATGTTTAGCTTGGATCAGTAAATGGTCTCACCTGCGGTGTGATGCTGAATGTAATTCCCACTTATTCTACCTGAAACTGCAAGTCTACCATGGTATTTAATGCAAGGTGTTTGGAATATTGTGCATCTATTGGAAACCTGCTAAAAATGAAAATTAATTGGACTTGTAGACATTTGTGCATTAAGCCAGGGCGAAATCACAATTTTCTTCCATTAAGTTTTTTTTTTCCAGTTAGTTAGTGGATTTCCATAGGGAATATATTTCACAGAAACAAAGCCATGTCCTTTATTTCAGGGTCTTTGGTACATCATTAATAACCACAAAGTAGAGCGGTTTGAAAGTGCTATTAAATCACAGTGTGGGATCATATCATTAGCTGACCTTAACCCCCATCTCTTAAGTGAATAGGAGACATTAATAGTCTTGTTTATCTAGTAGAAGAAACAAACTGATCAAATGCAGATGTTAAAAAGTGTGTATTTTATGTGACCTATAACTGGTGCATATACTAAAAGTCAATATAATTAAAGCAGAATTCTAGCCAAAAAGAACATGATAAATAATGAATAGCCCAATAATACATAACATAACAAAAGAAGCTTTTTTTTGTTGCAATGTTCAGCTTCAGTCCAAAAATTCCCCTGTAGTCTTTTTTTTTTTTTTACTTCTAGATGCCCACAGTGTATTGGTCAACCTGTTCAAGCCACTTCATCTGAGCCCAGGGTGTCCTGGACCTGTCCCAGCCTGTGACTGGACAGTGAACGTGGAAGCAGTGCAGTGATTAACTAATCTCTTTGACACTCTGCTTTCCCGGCCTATCAGCTTGCCCCTTGGCAAGCATATAAACGTATTGGTTCTTTGTACTGCTTCTTCCCCTTCTGCCCTGCTGTACAGTCAAATGCAGGTACTTACACTGTTTGCATTTAAACAAATACATCCACTTATATATTAATGATTATATTCTGCATTTATCTGTTTCTTTTATATCTGCCTAAAGTTCATTTGTAAGCTTTAAAAATACTGATAAGTAAGGCCCTTTTTAGATTGGGTGGATTCCGTTCCAAATAGCAGGAGATCCACTCAGAGATCCTCTGTTGATCTAAGCAGAGCAGGCTGATGACACATTCATGTCCGCTCAGTTTCTGCAGAGTGGACACGGACAGAGCCCCCTCCGGTCTATGGGTGACTAGGAGTAAAAGATTTCCACAAATCTTCCCAAATTAGCTATTATTTATTATTATTTTGCAGTATTTATAAACAATAGTTCGCTCAGCGCTGTACATTGAACATGTGACAGAACAATACCAATACAATGCAAAACATGAGGGGATCGAGGGCCCTTTCTTTCGAGGCAATTAGGAGGGAGGGGATGGTGGCACCATAGCTGTGGGGGATGGAGTGGTAGGAGGAGTGGAGGAGGTCGGCAGTTAGCAGGGGGTGGGGTAGGCTTCCCTGAAGAGATGGGTTTTAGGGTGCGCCTAAAGGAGAGGAGAGTAGGTGATAATCTGATTTGGGGCAGGGAGTTCCAGAGGATGGGTGACACCCTGGAGAAGTCCTGGGGAGGGGGCATGTATACATGATATGACATGTACTACAGTAATGTATATCCCACCTTTGCACTCCATCAGTGACATGACATGTATACAGCAATGCATATCCCCCCTCCCCTGCACTGCACCACAGCATGACATGTATACAGCAATCATTACTGTATACATGTCATATTACAATGGAGCACAGGAGAGGTGGGACACACATACTGTATACATGTCATATCACCATAATGCAGTACAGGGGAGCTGGGATATAATACTGTATTGCCAAATAAGCTGTATGTAATATTTTGCAGCTTAACAATCGTTGGATGTGGTGGCTACATTTGTTTTTTTAGGCTTTTTTTCCATCTGTTTTACCTGGTGATCTGACCAGTAACACATTTCCTGTATTAGTGTACCCCCAATGTGCACAGGGGACACATTTGGACAGCAGCATTGTAAGTCTGGGGGGAGGGGAGTGTACTAGCAGATTTTTAACAGTTTTAAGCTGGACTCCAGCTAACACTTTATAAGCAGTTACAGCAAACCCTTTAATTATTTTTGGGATAAAGATTTACATAAATAAAAAAAGCTGATCTTAGTTAGCACCCTTGTCAGTGGTAAATGGTTTGTCCCAACCCTCTAGCTGCTACATCTGTGTTTGAGCTTGTTCTTTTGAAAAACAACAGACTTACTGGTTAGATTACCTGGTTTTAAAAAGAAAAGCTAACACATCCACCATCTAAGAATTGGTAAGTTGCAATATAATAGATGTTTGCTTTCGTATTTAATAACACTTTAGCTGGCATAAGGAAAAGTCAAGTCTCTTGCTTTCCTAGACGGGGCTACGTGAATCTCATTAAATCCTTTAGAGAGAAAACGGCATATACAGTGCTCAGCATAAATTAGTACACCCCTTTTGAAAAGTAAGGCTTTAATCAATATCTCAATGAGCACAAGAACAATTTCCAAACTTTTGACAAAACTCAGTTTTATAGAACACTTGTTTAGCTCATTACATGAAAGTAAGGGTAATAATATAACTTATATTTCAGAATCTTCAGTTTTACTAAAATAAGTTGATGCAAAAATTAATACAACCCACAACAAAAACTACTACATCTAGTATTTGTATGATTGCCATGATTTGTAAGGACAGCAACAAGTCTTCCAGGCATGGAATGAGCAAGTTGGCGACATATTGCAACAGCTATCTTTTCCATTTCTTCAAGAACAACCTGGAAGCTGGATGGAGATTGATGCTCACCTTGTCTCTTCAGAATTCCCCATAGGTGTTCGATTGAGTTCAGATCAAGAGACATACTTGGCCACTGAATCACTTCCATCCTGTTCTTCTTCGGAAAGGCAACAATGGCCTTATATATGTATTTTGGATCACTGTCCATTGGAAAAGTGTACAACGACAAAGGGCACAGAGTGATGGTGGTATCTTCTATTTCAATATACAGCAATACATCTGTGAATTAATTATACCATTAAAGAAATGCAGCTCCTGGCACCAGCAGCACTTATGCAGTCCCACAGAATGACACTGCCACCAGCACGTTTCATTGTAGGCACCATGCATTTTTCTTTGTACTTCTCACCTTTGAGATGCCATACACTTTTGAAGCCATCAGTTCCAAAAACATTTATCTTGGTCTCATCACTTAAGAGTACAGAGTCCCTGCAATCTTCTTTCTGAGCATGAATCTTGGCAAACTTTTAGGCAGGCTTTTTTTTTGCATGGGCTTTAGAAGAGGCTTCCTTTGTGGACTACACCCAAGCATGCCATTCCTCTGCAGTGTATGCTGTATTGTAACAATCACCCCAGTTTGGCTTTCTACTTCTTTAGTTAACTGCAGTAAACTTCCATGGTGATTTTCTTCAATTCTTGCATCAGAAGACACTCCTGTCAAGGTGTTAACCTCCATGGATGGCCTGGACATCTCTGTGAGATGGTTACAGTTCCTTCTTTGTTAAATTTTTGTATCGCTTTTGCTGCAGTATTCTGACTGATAAGTAAAGCTTTGCTGATCTTCTTGTAGCCTTCACCTTTCTTGTGTAAAGAAATTATTTTCTTTTTCAGGCCTTGTGACATTTCTCTTGCATGTAGCACCATTGCTGACAGCATGAAATGGGAAGGGCTTTTCTTTGTTAACCTCCCTGGCGGTATTCCCGAGTGTAGCTCGGGGTAAAGTTTCAGTACCATAAGCGGTAACCCCGAGCTACACTCGGGCTTACCATGCGGCGCTGCTCCGCGATCCCTCGATCACTTACCTTGTCCTTCGCTCCCACGATGTCCTCCTGCAGTGTCCCCGGCAATGTAATCCAGTGGATGCGGCATCTGTCATCTGGATTCCATCCCCTGCGAGCGTCTGGACGTACGGGGGACAGAACGGTGGGAAATTTGAAAATGACAAAAAGTGACACTCACTAAAATCACATAGTAAAACATTACTGTATCAAACCATTTCACATACATTTTGTCCCGAGTGCTTTGTCCTGCGCCCTGCCTGCATTTTTACTGTTCTTTCTGCCTGGAAACTGAGAAACGTCCATGGCGTCCAAAAAGCATCCCTTTTAGGTCAAAAGCGGTTTTAGACCAACTAGAGAACAGTGATAGTAAATCAGAACCACTTGCAGAATTGAATGATAAAGATTTGTGGGGAAATTCGTCAATAGACACTGAAAACGATTTTTGACTTTGCTCAGTGATGTGCGAACTTGGCGCTATATTTCAAATTTCAGTGTTTTTGGTTTGATTATATTATTGAAATAAATTTATTATTATTATATTATTATTTTTTATTATTATTTATTCAATTATAATTCATGATTTTGTGTTTCAAGTTTTATCATACCCGTGATGTTTACTAGACTCTTGTTCAGACAGATTTCAGTGAGTTATGCCTAAAAATGATAGACCTACAATAAAAAAAATATATATTTCCATGCAAAAAAAAGTATCGCTTTGAGCACAGAAATATGGACATAATAATCAGACGCTAGGGAGGTTAAGTAATGCCCTTTTATAATCATCTGTCTGCTGGACACCTGTTTGATGAATAATTAGACTCACCTGTAGTTGAATTGTTGGTAATTAGAATTTTGTTGACTAAAATTTAGCTTTGCTTCTAATGCAGGCCATAGATGGGTCGCAAAATCGGTCTGATGAGTTTTTCGGAAAATAACTTTTTCGTGTGTGCAAATTAACGGATCGTTTTTAGTGGGCTATTTGTTCGGCCGTTTTTCGGTATTTTGAACAATGACGTTTTTTTTTGTTTTTTGGTAAAGTTGGAAAAAAATCGTCCGATTTTGCGATTTTCAGCGATTTCAGCGCTGTGCAATTAGTGGGCAAATCAGCCGATTTTTTACCCATACCCAAAATAAATGCGTCATGAGCAGTGACCTGCAAGAGAAAGACAAAAAGAAGAAGATCACCAGAGGATGTTTTTTAAAAAGAGGATGAAGAAGAAGAAAATAAAAAAAAAAGAGGATGAAGAAAAAAGAGGATGAAGAAGAAGAAGAGGATGAGGATGAAGAAGAAGAGGATGAGGATGATGAAGAAAAGAAGAAGAAGAAGGAGAAGTAAAGAAAGGATGATTGGATGAAGAAGAGTTATGAGGATGAAGAATAAGTAGAATAGGTTTTTGGATGAAGAAGATGAGGATGAGGAAGAAGAAGATGAGGATTGCAGGTCCAGAAGAAGGAGAAGAAAAGAGTTTTTATGAGGATGAAAAGAACTTTCTTTTGGGGATTTGAAGAAGATGAAGAAAATGAGGAAGAAGAAAAAAATGAAAATTTTCAGGATGATGAAGAGGATATTTGATGAAGAGGATGATGATGATGAAGAGGATGAGGATGATGATGATGAACCCCTCCAGGATGATTGGATGATGATGATCCAAGAGGATGAGGATGATAAAATCAAGAGGATGAGGATGCAGATGCTTCTAAGAAGAAGAAGAAGAGGATGGAAGAAGAGGATGAAGAAGAAGAGAAGAAGAAGTAGGTACCATGAAAATAAGAGGAATTCCAGTCTGTGCAAAAGTGTCCCTGCAGAGAGCTCCGCTACAGGAATGTCACTTTCCCTGTGTGGCTTTCAAGTAGTTAAACAACACTGGTGGGAAATGGTGGTTTGACAGTGACAGTTCTCTGACAGTTCCTTGACATTTACAGCGGTTTAAAACATTGTATCTATTTGTTTCCGAATAAAAACATCTGTATCCTAAATGGAAACAAATAGATACATTGTTGCAACTCTATAACTGTGTCAAGTGATAAAACTGTCACACTGTCAGTGTCAAAGAAATAGCGGAGCTCTCTGCAGGGACACTTTTTACCAGCTGTACTGTGTACGGGATGAAAATCGTACTGTGTGCTTTTTTTACCATTGACTGTAACGTCGGCCGCTTGAAGGGAGAAAAATTTTTCGTTTTTTAAAAGAAAAAGAGCCGTTTTTCTGCCCCGCTTTCTATGGCCTGCATACGACTTTGTGTATTAAATTTTTGCCAACATGGTCTTGAATGAGTTTGTTAGGAAACATACTTTTTTGTGTGTGCAAATTAACAAATCATTTTGTTTGCAATCAATGGCCCGCATTTTGGGAGTATTTTGTAGTATAGTAGAACAATAAATATTGTTCCATATGCATATCATTAACGTGTTGTTCAATGGCTTATTTTCTTTGTTTTGCTATGGGGCCCTGTGATTTCTCACTTCGCTCCTGCACAGCTTCATTTAAACCAGGAAGCAGGGTGGTTTTTAGTTGATATATCCATTTCATCTCATGTTGCAATGTAACACAATCAAAACCTCCTCCATGGTGGATCCAATCTTTTTTATCCAAAAATACTTTATTGTTTTAAGAGAAGACAAAAGCATTTAGAGCATGTACAGCCATAGATCACAGTCAAAACATAGACATGACATGTTGCTTTCCGTTTTGCAGACGGGACCATGGTGGATCCAATCTTATTCTACAAAGGAGCATGTGCAGTTGCTGAAACCTGGGATAGACCCAGGGACCTTCAGACCTTTCAGTCTAACTCTCTTCAACTGAGCTTTTTCAGCTTTTAATGCCCCCTAGGGTATGTAATAATGATCATAATGATGGTAAGGTGTTACATGCCTACCAAAGGGGGATGATGGATCTCCAATACTAATAACATGGACATGATAGGAGGCAGAAGCTAGGGGGTGGTGCAATTCTTATATTATGTATGGAGACATTTTGGAATCTAAATTTTTATTATCTCCAAAAATCTTATTAATAAATTATTATTTTCATAAAATTGATGTATTTTAATATATATGGATGTAGTTATGTGAAGTCTTGTGACACCCTTAAAGGCCCAACATTTTTCAGACATTTTCATATTGAGTTACAATAGGATGTTGATGTCAATGTTTATTAAATACAGGTACATACATAGCGTCATGAATTTACACAGCACTTTACATATATATCAGACCCTGAACCCTCAAGGAGTTTATTCCCTAACCAGGAGCCAATTAATCTCCTGGTGTGTCTTTGCAGTGTGGAAGGAAACCAGAGTACCTGGAGGAAACCCACGCAGGCACAGGGAGAACATGCAAACTCCAGCTAAGTAATGCTGTGGTTAGGATTTAAACGACAACCCTAATGCTGCCAGGGGGAGGTGCTAACCACTTAGCCACTGTGTTGCCATATGTTCTAATTTATGACATATTTATGTCAGTACTAATCAGATTGATCATTACTCTATGGTGTTTCTCACCGCTGTCCATGAGAACTGGCAGGTGTCCATAAATCCAGACGGAGACTTCCATCTGGGACCTCCATTATACCCTATGGTGTTTGCCATCCATGTGTAAAGAGCTGCTGGTATAACGTATTCTGCTGCTTTAGAGAACATCAGATATTATTAATATTATTATACAGGATTTATATAGCTCCATATCAGTTATATAAAAGGTATAGCGGATATCAGTTGTTTTTACATGGGACGCACAGGTGTTTCCAGTATCTGCATTCAGGCAGCCCCATTTATAGCTACTGGAATGGACCAGCTGCACGGACACAGCCGCCAGTCTCAGTTTTGACATCCATGTGGGGGGTGGGTGCACCACACCCCACCCAATCCCAAAATGCACCTGCACCCGCACAGATGTCGAATCGGGAGCAAAAGCTATGTCTGTGCAGCCCCTGAATCCCAAGAGACATGAATAGGACTGTTTTGCCTGCACAAGTGTTTTATGCTTCCACATGTAGGCAATCCCATTCAAATCTTGTGTGTGATTTGTTTTTTTCTTTTTGTATTTTGTTTATTTTGGTTGAATTAGATGGTCTGGTGTCTTTTTTCAACCTGTCTGTTCGGATGCAGCGGCTGCAACAGCCCTGCTGCTGGTCCCAGTTTTGACATCCGTGTTGGGGCAAGTGCACCACACCCAACCCAATCCCAAACGCACCTGCACCAGCATTGATGTTGAATTGGAAGCAATGGCTGTGTTCATGCAGCCGCTGCATCCCAATAGACATAAATGAGAGTTTTACGTCCTGCGCAGGATACTCAGGTGTTCCATGCATCCCTGTGGAGACCGTCTCATTCATGTCTTGTTTTTTTGGCTCATTAGCTGGAAATAACTTGGCCCATGGGTGCCCTAGGGGTATGCACATGGGAAAAACTGGCCATATGGCTTTATGATGTTGTTATGAGCCACCTTGTAATACATGGGCCAGGGTGTAAGTCCATTGTCCTGGTAGAAATATGTCACAAAAATACTGCTGGCCTCTGACTCATGGAGTGAAGAGATCCCCCTGGCTGTATGCCGGTAGGAATAAGTCCTGTGGATGCCGCATCCAACTATCGCTCTTGTAGCAAAAGTTGTAGATATAGTTCTGCTCCTCTGGATCTTTTAGGTTCTTATGAGCCTCCTCATGATACATTGACCATGTAGTGAAGAGATTCTCATGGCCATACGCTGGTGGGAATAAGTCCTGTGGTTGCCTCATCCGACTCTCGCTCTTGTAGCAAAAGTCATAGATATAATTCTGCTCCTCTGGCTCTTTTAGGTTCTTAGGAGCCTCCTCATGATGCATTGGCCATGGAGTGAAAAGACTCTCATGGCTGTATGCTGGTGGGAATAAGTCCTGTTGTTTCCACATCTGACTCCTGCTCTTGTAGCAAAAACTCATAGATATAATTCTGCTTCTCTGGCTCTTTTAGGTTCTTAGGAGCCTCCTCATGATGCATTGGCCATGGAGTGAGGAGATCGTCCTGGTTGTATGCTGGTGGGAATAAGTTCTGTGGTTGCCGCACCACTCTTGTAGCAAAAGTCATAGATATAGTTCTGCTGCTCTTGTTGTTTTAGGTTCTTATGAGCCTCCTCATGATACACTGGCCATGGAGTCAAGAGATTTTCATGGCTGTACGCTGGTGGGAATAAGTCCTGTGGTTGCTGCATCCAACTCTCGCTGTTGTAGCAAAAGTCATAGATATAGTTCTGCTGCTCTTGTTGTTTTAGGTTCTTATGAACCTCCTCATGATGCATTGGCTATGGAGTGAAGAGATACTCCTGGCTGTATGCTGGTGGAGGCCAAAACAAGTCCATTGGCTCTGCCATTTGTTTAAGAACCTCATTATAATATTTCTCCATTGGTGTCGATAGTTGCCCCTGGTTGCCAAGTGGTAATACTGGAGACCAGTCCATTGGTCCACCTTCTGACTCTCGTCGCTACAGTTAATGAAATGAAGCTTGTTCCGAGCCTTATCATTGAACATCTGATTGGCGTTGGTAGTTGCCCATGGTTATCCATTGCCTGTGGGCTCCAGTCTATTGGTGACATCATCAAACTGTTGCTTATGTATAAAAACATGATGAAATACTCCTGCTCCTTTGGAGATATTAGAACCGCCAGGTAGTAGTCAATAAAATCAGTCAATTGCATAGTATTATGTGAATGTTCCTCGAGAATCTGGAAAGAGAAAAGGCATTCCTCACTGTTTCTAATTGATACAGAAAATGGTAACAAAGCATGGTGAACCCCACCCCTGAGGTATCACTGATTTCGGG